AGCGTGTGGGGTCATCTGCTGCAGGTAGGGCGTGGTGTGCACACGATCCAGGATGAGCAGATTGATTAGGAAGATGAGAAGTCATGGAATTCCATAGTGGCTGGAGGAGCCAACAGCACTTGGGGCCAGCAGATAGCAACCTTGTCCTGGGCAGGAGGGACAGTCACAGAGAGGCTTGAGAGCCTTCAGGGGGAACCAGTGCAGCTGGGTACATCTCCTGTGTTGAGTGGGGAACTGGATTGATGCTTGTACTTGGGCCAGCCTGACCAAGGTTCCTGCAGCTGGGAGTGCTCTACAGCCAACATCAGCCACTCCTGAGAACCTACTGGAGAGTGAGGTGCCCACTGGGAGGCCTGTCTAGATGCCTACCTCGGAGCTTGCTACAGGCCTACGCACTCAGCTGGGGGCCTGACAGATTTCTAGATGCTCACCTGGGAGCCTGCTAGAGCACTAGATGCCTATCTGGGATACTGCTAAATATCCGGGTGCTCCCCTGGGAGCCAGTTAAACAGCAGAATCTCAACACCTCCCACCCCTGACCTCCTGGATCAGAATCTGTTTTAGCAAACATTTGAGTAATCATATTCACATTGAAGTTGGAGAGGCATTTCCCTGGCCGAGAAAACACCGAGCAGTTTGTTCAGAAACCAGCCAAGAAGCATGAGGGAAGAGAACCCTGGTGGAGCTATGGCCTGGCCGGTGTTCAGGGCCCCTGTCCTATGGGGTCCCCGCTTTCTGGGAGGGTGACCCCTGCCCCAAAGCATGGGTGGACTTGTTCATGTGAGGCCACCTGGAACCCCTGGGGCTAGTGGGAATGCCAGGAGATCTCACTCAGAGGACAGGACAGGAGGGGTGACCAGAGCAGCACAAGGGTCTGGAACAGCTGGAGAGGCACACACAGAACACACGGTCTGGAGGGCCTTCCACTGCCATTCTCAGTTCAGGGTATTTTGAGGGTGAGAGTTTGGTTTCTATAGATTTAGAGGTTTTTTTTTTTTTTTTTTTCTCCTCCTTCTTAATGGAACAAATATGTTCCTGCTGGAGCTCATAGCAAACTAGCTGCTAATGAAAGGCAGGTGTCCAGGGGCCTGGGTTCTGATCGTCATCACATGGAGCAGGAAGGGGATGGGCCAAGAGAGAGGCTGCTGTCTGGTTCTGCAAACCAGACGGAGTGATTGGGAAATGGCTATAGGGGCAGGGCGGGGTGAAGGTTCCGAGAAGGACAGAGGTATGCTGAGGGTTCAGGCAGCTGGGCCAGGGTACGTGTACAGTGGCCAGGCCGCTTGGCAGCAGAGACCCCAGGACGCCCAGGCCTCTCTGCCTTGGTGTTTGTACCCTCACTCACTCCTGGACCCTCAGCACCTACCCTGGCCCACGGGGTCCACCCAGCAGCACACACAGTGCCATCAGTAAAGGGAGGGCCCACTGTGAGCATGGCAAGAGAAAAGCCTCGCACGTTTTTAAAAGGAAAGCCCAGAAATTGTGCATGTTATTTTTTTTTAAAGAATTATTTATTTCATTTTATTTTTTCATTAATTCATTATCATTTGACCAGAGAAAGATAGACAGAGAGAAGGAAAGTGAGAAAGCAAGCTACCGGGTCTGGGACTTGAACCATAGTCAGCCATGTGGGAGTGTCCAATGCCTTAACCATCATGCTACCTGCTGGCCCTGTTTGTTTAATGTTGGAAGGTATTGTACATGAGAGAGAGAGAAAGCATCTCCACCAGGGCCTGGTCACACCACAGTCCTTCTTTCCCCAATTCTCTTTCCAGTCAGGATCCTGGGCATGCATACACACCTGGCATGAAGCCAACAGAACCAGGATTCAAACCCCAGTTGGCCATGTGGGAACTGGCTTCCTTGGGGCAGCACCTGACCACTGTGTTATGGGGCTGGGGCTGGGGCTGGCCCAGACCTTGTTAGGGAAAAAATAACAGTTCAGTGAAGCAGTTTTAACTCTTCTGACTGATTCCAAAAAGAGAAATGGAAGAGACATGCAGCCGCCTCCCCTCCCAACACAGCATTTTGGTTCAGAGCCAGGAAGGAATCTCAGGTAGACTCAACTTGCAACTTTGAAAGGGTGCCTTTTCAGGGGGCCGGACGGTGGCAGGGTAGTTAAGGCAGTTGGAGGCCCCATGTCCAACTACACAAATTGAGTACAGGACCTAGTGGCTTGAAAACCCCCCCAGCCATGTGTGCCCCATTCCGGAAAAGAGGGAGGGAAGGAGAAGAAGGGCTTGCGGTGTGACAGCCACACGGGGCGTGCTCTCTCACGTTCCCGCTGGCTCGGGCGCTCTCTGGTGAGCACATGTACTCTCTGGCAATTTTTAAAAAATGATTCTTTATAAAAGGGCACCTTTTTGTTTTCAAAGGACATGTTAAGCTTCTTATAGGTTCTTCAGCCTCCAGTCAGCCTGAAACCCCTGACAAAAATTGAAGCTGATGAAATCTTTTGAGAAAGGAGCCAGATTCTCATTGGTTCCAAGTGTGAGTGTGTGTCTGGGAGGGGTGATCAAGCAGACTGACACACACGGAGGGGGCAGGTGGGCGAAGAGTCTGAGTGTGCACTGAGACAAGGCCTCCCCGTGCGTGTGAGAGAGAGCACGTGCGTGTGAGAGAGAGCATGCGTGTGTGCACACATTAGTGTGCATTCTGTCACAGACTCTCCCTCACGGCCTCCACACGTCTGAACATCGCTGCCTTTGAAAACTCGGGATTTTAATGAAGTGTGTTCTGACGGGGAGCTCTGTGTGCAGCTCGTTTTCCTGCAAGGACAAGGGACCTGTGGTGTCTTCCTGCTGGTGGGAACAAGAATGGGCAGTGGGTGTGGTGGGAGCACAGATGGGCTGGAGCCTCGCCCTCTCCCACCCATCCCAGACCCTGGACTGCTGCTGGGAATCTCAGAAGCCTTCCGTGGCCCTCACCCACCTGCCTCCTCTCCCCAACTCCCCAGGTCCTGAGCTGTGTCAGCCCAGACAATGCCAACAGCCCCGAGGTCCCAGTGAAGATCCTCAACTGCGACACCATCACTCAGGTCAAAGAGAAGATTCTGGATGCCATCTTCAAGAATGTGCCCTGCTCCCACCGGCCCAAGGCTGCAGATATGGACTTAGGTGAGCAGTGGCCTGTCCCTGTGGCCGAGCCTACTTTCTTTCACCAACAGCAGGCAGAACTGGGGTGCAGGAGCAGAGGCAGAGAATGGCTGGCTGGAGAGAGGCAGACACACCCAGCTCCCCAGGAGCCCAAGGGGTTTGCCTTTGTGGCCTACACACAGTTGGTCTGAGCGGACCAGTGAGCAGGGAGCAGAGAGGGGCCGCCGGTCACCTGGCAGTTTGCTGGTGATCTGACCTGGCGTGTTATGCCTCTGGGGTCCTTGGAGTGGCTGAGAGTGGGAGGAGAGGGGTCACATCTGGATTTAAAGCAAAGTCTGCCAGCCTGAGTCCCTGAGGCCAAGGTCTTGCCACCATCTTTGTTGTCCTTCCGGGTTCTTCCCTCCCCCTCTGTTCAGTGCCTGCAATTTCTGCTGAATACCTAGGACTTGAGGGATCTGGGTCAGCCATAGAGGATGGAGAGAAAGAACAGAGCAGAATGGGATGTGACGGCCTGCTGTGGAGCAGGATGACATTTTATTTGAATGTTCCACGAATAGATCGCATAGCCTACATAAGCAAGGGCATGCCACTTTGGGCTGCTGTGCTCAGTTCCAGTTATGGCTGGCCTGAGCCTTTCATAGGATGCTATCCTGCGGGGGGATTCTAGTGGGCCGCCCTAGGCCTTGAAAAGAGCAGAAGAGAGGTAGTTCCAGTATTATGGGTCAGTGTCAAACACAGCTGGATTCGGGTCCTGGCTGTGTGGCCTCAGTCAAGTTGCTTAACCTTTCTGTGCTTTAGTTTCCTTGGCTAGATAGTGGAAAAAACAATTGTACCAGCCTCACAATAGAAATTCACGTGAGGGCTACATGTAAAAGCATGTCTCCTGCAGTGCTTGGCCCAGCATACACCTTGGGCACTACCAGCTGCTGCTAGGACTGGTCTTGAAGATAATACTGTCAGACGCTGTGTGTCTGTCTGTTGATCCTGGGCCTGGATGAAAAGGCATGTGTGTATGCGTGTCTGGAGATTCAAGGCAACATAGGGGTGGGAGGACCCTCCTGAGGCCCCTAATCCATCCATCTGGCCTCTAAGCTGGTTTTAGCTAAGCCAGTGAGACAGATGGGCATCTATGCGGTTTCTAAAATCCAGAGGGAATTTTCATTACCTCCCACCGCCTTGCCCCACCTCCCTCAAATTCTCAGTGCCTAAAGACTTAGAATCGTGAAGTTCTGCTTCCTCCCCTAGACTCTCACTTCACCCAGTTTGCCTTTGTTGGCTCTCGTCTGGGTGTGTGTATCCCTGTGCCCCAGGCCCAGTTGCCATTGGGGAGGGAGTGGTAAGTGTGTGTCTCCCACTCACTTTGGAGGTATCTCTGAGTAGGCTGACTCCGGGACATGGAGGAAGCAAATGTGGCTGTGGGGTGTGAGTGTGCCCATGTGTGCATCCTGGCCACTGGTTCCTGGAGCTACATGGCCGTGTGTGTCGGCTCATATGTGATTTGCTTCTGCCGCCATGAAGATGGTACACTCTGAGGAGGGGAAGGGCCTGTGTTGGAACCAGGAGAGAAAGTGGTTACTGGAAGGAATACCTTTGTGTGCTCCAGTCCCAGGCAATTCAGTAGGGCACCCCCAATGGGAGCTCTGGGGAGAGCTGAGTTTACTAGGGCGTAGGGTGATGGGGCAGCATTCTCTGTTCCTCTTGTTTGTTTTATCTGTGGGATGTGTGGCAGGGACCACCGACAGCCTCTTGGTGTCTTTATCTGCAAAATGGGTGAGAGGGTAATCCTGACAGAGTGGGGCCAAGGCAGAGAGCTGTCATGGGGACATGCATCTTCGCACTGGATGGTGAGTTCACAGGTTGCTCCAGAATACAGAAGGAGCTCCTGAGTGTGGGTGCATATAGGGCTGTGGCCTTGGGCATGGGGTGACTTCCCGTGGCCTGGGCAGCGGGTGACCCTGTGAGCCTCCATCTGTGGAATTGTGACTCAGGTTTTGCAGGAACGGTTATTCTTCCTGATCAGAAGAGGTTCGATGTGGGGGAGAATAACAATAGGGTTCTATGGCAGCCGAACCCCAGGTGACACTTAGGAAGGGTGGGAGCCGGTGCCCTCTGGCTTTACCCACACCCACACCAAGGGCAGCATCCTTGGGAACAAAAGCAGGTACCAGCCCTTCTGTGCCTGTTGGGCCTCCTCGGGAGATGGTCTCACAGCTGGCAGCCGACGATGTTCAGGACCAGTCCTCCCCGCTGAAAACATCACCCCGGGGTGGGAGCAAAAGAGGCTGCAGCTGGCGGTTTTAGAAACTCCCCAGAAAGGCCTGGGATGCAAGCCCCGTGAATCAGGTCTTTAATGAACACAAGCAAAATATGGCTGACAGCAGACATGCATGTGCTGTGACTCTGGACAGCCTGGGAAGGTCCCCAGTTAGCGTCCTGAGAGCTCCCTGTACACCGGGAGTGCAAGCACGTTCTCCTGATCTAAGCTGGCCGAGGCTGGGAGTAGACTGCAGCACGAGACTCTGTTGGAATCTCTCTCCCAGAAGAAGAAATAAACCTAAAACAGACAAAAAAAAAAAAAAAAGTCCTGTGAAGTCTCCTACAGCCACAGTCAGAAACCATCTAGGGTGGAGGCAACAGCGTACAGAGCAGCCCTACGGCTTTCCACCAGCCACCACTGCAGAGGGGACCTGGGGCTGCTCAGTAATCTGGGCCCGCCCAGGGGACCCCGCCCCACAGCTAGAGGCTGCTGGGGCCAGGGAAAACCACGGAGGGGGGGCGGTCTCCCTGACTGTGCTCACTACGACTGCAGCAGGTGCTGAGAAAACAGAGGGGCTTCCTGTCTCCTCACTGGTGCTGCTGGAGCCACACCTGGAGGAGGAAGGTCCCACAGCAGGGACAGAGATAGGGAGAAGCCAAAGAGGAGAAGCTTCAGGCAGCTTGAGCCTCAGGCCCCCACCCACCGGGGACACAGTGCCATGCAGGGCTTCTCTGAAAGGCCTCCCTTCTCAGCTAGAGTCATGGATGCTCTTCTGAGAAATGTCCCATCTTTCATACTAAGTCCAGAGCTTGGAGCTGCCCCCAAAGTACTGGACTTCTTGTGACCAAGGTGAGATTGATAAAAAGGAAAACAGGGGCTCCTCAGAGATGCAAATGCTTCCTCATGGCCCACAGCTGGAGGTATATGGTCCCTGTCACAGAGGTCAAAGCACTCTGAGAACCTGAAAGCAGTTTATAACTCTAAGTGTGACTGTTACCAAAGGTCAGGCCCAGCCATGCTGGCGTGAGGGGGCAGGCACTGATATTCAGAAGCAGAGGCACATGGGATGCCCAGGGCCAGTGCTGGCCTGCCCTGGGACTACAGGGCACTCAGGAGGCTGAGGCAGGAGGACACAACATAGCAAGACCTTGTCCAAAAAACAAAACGTACTCTACATGAAGGGGCACACAGCGTGTAGACACAGACACAGCAAGGACTCGCTGAGCCGCATACATTGGGCAGAGAGGCAAGACAGCCAGGCACCCCCACTTTACAGCTCCCCCAGTGCCTCTGCCCATGACTGAGAGCATCGGGCAGAGGCTGCCTGCCCCTAGCAAGGCAGGATGCTCAGGGAGAAGCAGACTTCATTTTTAAGATTTTTGCCATGGGGCGCATGCGTTAGCCAGAGGGCATGGGAGAATGAGAAATCACCCACCAGGGAGGATGGCCAAACCACAGTCCCTTCTCTTTTCGGGATTTTGGTCAGGAATCCACAAGTGCCCAAATGCACA